AGCCAGCGCGGTCTGTGATCTGCCGCGTAACGAGCATCCCGAAACGAGAGTCCTCACACCGTTCTGCGGCCGCTGCGACGCTCCCGCAGCCTCCCGCGGGCTGCCTCCCACAGCTGCAGAGCCAGCTGGGCTAGAAGCCCGTCCAGGCAGCTCCTGTCCACTGTCAGGTCTGGCTTCCTTCTACCCTGGCCGCCTCGGGGCAGTGCTCCAAGTGGGAGCCACCAGGCCCCTTTCTGAATTCCCACGTCACTTCCGCCACATTCTTCCTTTTCTTAGAGAAGTTGTTGCTACAGGGCACATCTGCTTGCCAGAGAGACAGAGATAGGAAGCGAGAAATCACCCCCCAGGAGGGAGGGCCACACTGCAGTCCCTCCTCCTCCGTTCTCCTCTTGGGGTTTTGGGCACGCACGCCCACGCATCTGGCGTGTTTGACGCCACCAGGTCTGGGACTCGAACCATGGATGGCCGTGTGGGAGTCCAGCACCGTAACCACTATGCCATCTGCTGGCCCCACCATTCTGTCAAAGCGAGCTGGGTGGCCAGCATGGATGCCAGAGGGTGGGCTAGGGCTCCCCCTCTTGCTAGAAGAGCAGCAGAGAACGCCTGATTCCCCGCCATGTACGGAAGTGCTTACTAACTTCCTCTAGGGAGAGGGCGGGGTCTCTCTGGCCTCTGGGTGTCAGGAGGTAGTGCACCCAGCCACTGGACCCCGGTCCCCTCGTCCCCCAGCCCTGCAGAGCCGGCGTCTGCCATTGGTGTGCCCTGCAGGGGCAGGGACTGCCCCCCACAGCCAGGCTGGCAGGCCGTCTGAGGCGAACTCTGGCTGCTTCTCCCAGAGACCCCCACAGGACCCCTCCCGGCTAGGCACGGACTGGCAGAGGCAGGGCCAGCCCAGATGGCTGCGGGAGGCGGCCGTGGACAGGCTCCCAGCTCATGACTAACCCCGCAGCTGCAGGGTAGTGCCAGGGCCCAGGACCCCGATAAGCTGGAAGGCGTGGCATGGGGTCTCCACCCGCCTGAGCAGCGTCCTGTCCCACCTGTCCCCACCCTGCCGTCTCTCCAGCTGTCAGGTGGAGGGGTGGGCAGAGCCTCCCAGACCCGAGGGGACAGGACAACAGCCAGGACCGTGCTCCCTTTGTAGTGACAGGCGTGGAGGGCACCACGAGGCCGCAGGGCCAGCGGAGTGTGGGGAGCCGGCCAGGAGCGGGTGGCCAGCGGGGCAGGACCAGGACGCCGGCTGTGAGAAGTGACCGGGAGCTGGCAGGGGCCCACCTGGCGGGCAGGGCCGGCGTGGAAGGCCGGCCGAAGCACCGTGGCCACGTTCCCGCCCGCTGACAGGCTGGTGACTGAGCACGCGAGACCCGGGGCCGCAGCCGAGCTGTGCGACTTTATTAAGAAGACGGGGGCGTGGGGGGCTAGGCGTCCTGCTGCTGCACGAAGGGGTTGGGGATGGCCTCCATGCCGTCCTGCGGGCAGATGAGCACCACCGACGTGCCCCTGCACACCACGAGCCCCAGCTGCCGCGTGTCCTCCGTCAGCTTGTACTGGTCGTCGGGGTCTGTGGGCAGCGGGGCACTGAGGGCCAGCCCAGGCGAGCCCGTCCCATCCCTGGGGGCTGCAAGCCCGGCTCGGCCTGGGCACCCAAGCGCTCTGCACCCGGCCTGTGGCCAGGAGAGCGGGGGGGGGG